TTAGTGGAAAGCTTGTCCTGATCATTGATCGTTCGTAAAAGCACATATATGAGAAACTATAATGTTCTGCGTCATAAAGAGTTTCATCTTGCTTAGGGAGAACAATAGCTTTTTTGATTTTCTGGACAGGATTACTTCTTAATCTGGCATTGATTTCAAGAGTGGATAGCCTTTGTCTCTGGAATATTCAGCCATATTGATGATATAGCAAATAAGTTATTTCTTAATGTTAAATCTATGAAGTGACTATTTCGATAGTATTTGTTTCATGTATTTGCAGAGCAGCATGTTGACATAGCCAGTAGAAGAGGTGGGATTCCGGGCTTATTCACAGGAAAGCTGTGCAATTTTGCTGATGGAGGCATCATAGCTCATTTGATTGTGGGTGTGTGTATCTTGCATGGCAGCAGTCTCGGTTTCAGACAGGTGATATGTGTAGAACTCCACCTGAATCTATGGGCAGCTATTTTAGACTAGCTTCCTGTATTCTAACCTGAGTGTATCTAACACAGCTTAGTCTTTTCAGACAAGCAGCAAATATCCAAGGCTAGAAGTAAATGTCTCTTCAGCCTTGCTACCCTCTGGATATGAGATCCAGAGGGAATCTGTATCATATCATCTGTTACAGCTCAAACATTTCTGACTAGCTTGTGTGATGAAATATATATTATTTCTTTATTGTGTGTATATCTCAGCTTTTCTTGTGAGAGCTCAAGAGAGAGCATCTTTCATGGGGGCATGATCTTTCCTAATGTTATCCCCATAACAGCCTCCTTATGAATAGCTTGAGCCGAGAGTAAGTGGTAGCCTAAATTATGCAGTGGTTGAGTAGGGATTTTAATGTGGATTACCTTGGAAAACATCCATTATCTGGGAAATCATATTATATTTGAGAACGTGGAAATTAACCATTCCTGATCTAGCATGTTCACTGAATCAAGAAAAGCCAGTAATGTCATCTGAATTAACACAGCCACCTAGGCCTGGTGTTTATTATATCAACTGTTTAAAAACAAGTCTGGTTGGAAAATAAACCCTTCTTTCCATAGTGCAGTATGAGAAGATGTATTGAGAAGTGTTGGTTTAATTCAATTGCTGACTCTAAAATGGTTTCCTAGTTTCTGGGCCTGAGTACAGTAAATGGATCCCTTTTGGAATAAACAACCTTATATCCTGCAGACATTTTGGACTATGGTTTTTACAATTCCATGCTCCTGGTCAAAATGGCTGGAGCTGATAGGAGTTATTTTCTAGAACTTCTGGAGGATACCAAGATGTCTACTCCAATTCACAATTAGACCATGTAAGAAACAGTTTGTTTTTCTCTCTTACTATCAGTAATGAGGGCACAGGTGACTGAATAATGTCTGCAATGAACTCACTATCAACAAGATTATTTGACCATTTATATTACAAAAGTACTATGGATGCTACTTTCTGTTTCTATCACACATTGCTTTAGTACAGTCTGTATAAAAGACATCAAGCAATGAGAGAGCGATGCTCCCTATCCTGACATCCTTCCTTTCAGGATGACACTATTGGTTTGCAGAATTTGATTTTGATTTTTTTTTGGGGGGGAGGGTATATTGGGTTTACCAGTGCAGCATGGAATAGAGTCATGGAGAAGCAGAATAGATAGTGGAACCTGAGGTAGAAGGTCTTGGAGTAAAGAACTTAAAATGAAGGAAAACTGGACAGAAAGTGGTGGAGCTGAGATAAAAGGGGCCACAGCCTAAAGCAGTTGAAAACAACACATAGGAGTGTGCCTCCTGGAAGGGAAGCAATATAGATTTTAAGAACAGAATTGTATATCCCATAGTAAGGCTCCATTCTGTTCATATATACATACATTGGAGTGATAGGATGAAGTTGGAAGCGATTGAGAAAAAATGGTGGTACACATGTTCTAACTCATTGAAATAAAGCTGTAGTAGATTTTGTTGGATATATATTAAATGTCAGTCTTTGATGCTGTCTTTCAGTATCTTTCAGATATTGTCAGTTTTGCCTTCATCAGCTTAAATATGTCTAGTTGTTACTTACTCCTTGCTCTTTCCCCCAAATGATGTTAAGATTGCTATTTAAGGGCATTCAGAGTGGGATGTAAAACTTTTAAGGAGCAATGATATAAACAGAAACACCAGCAAGAAAACCAAAGTGTAAATATTTTGGTCTTTTCTGTGGCTATCTATACTGCTTACTCAGAGTTTTACCAAGTTTTCCTGTTTTTTATTGCATAATTCTGACAATTAGTGCTGTCCAGAACCTCTTGTTATGTTTAGATAGTTCAGAAGTTTCCATGACCTTTGAATTTCTTTGGTGTTGCTGGTGTTTTTAAAAACCTAATGGATCTTGTGGTTTGTGCAGTATTTGTTTTTGGAGAGGGGAGCCTAAAGATAAAAGTCACTGCTTTGAGTTGTCTAAACAGTGTTGATTTAGTAATGTTGTTCAGCTGCCTGTAATCCAGTATACCTTGCAGAAATACTGTTATTTGTGGTAGCCAATATATTTAGGGCTGGGGCATTTCTCAGGCATACTTATGAGCAACTAAACTTCTCATTCTAATCTTTAAAATGCAAGACATGTGAATTCCACGCCAACAAGGACTGTGCAACCCAGCCTTCTTCTTGTGGCTTCTAGAGCACCTCCAGATTGCTGCTGGTTTTTATTTTCTAATAAAATAAGGAGTACTTAAACGTGTTAAGGCTAACACATGTTAACATTAAAAATTAAAGTTAAGATACAATCAGAGAAACCTTTCAGATTATTTTAAAACACAAAGTCTGACCCTACCCTCTTCAAGAGCCTGACAGACTATAGGAAGACTACATGCTCTGCTAGGCTGTAGATTATAAATAAATAAATAGACCCTGGGCTGCAAATGTTTGCTGCCCCCAATTTAAACACATTGTTCTTTAAAGTATTTCCACTATATAACTACTGTTTTAAAAAACATTTGTGCACCCAACTCCTACAGATATTTACTCCATGTGGCATTATACTTTACATTAACAACAGTTTTCTTTTATGCAAATTTCTAACTGCTTTTGAATTCCGGAAATATTAGACAAAGCGGGATGCTAATTTAGGTGCAGAGTTGGGATTACAGTTTAGTGTTTAAATACTTACATTTGACTATGGTAAGTTATTTTTTAAAAAAACACTACACAGTTTCTGTAACTACTGTAATGTGTTGCCATCCATGTAAAAAGTATGCTCAAAAAGACTGCAAAACAATATTTGTGCCTTTTCTTCAGCTGGTTTAATTGGTGAGACCCAGAGTGAAATTTTAACTCTGTCTTTTTATTGCTCTTAGAAATGTTTGTTATTTTTTTTATTTTGTTGACTATGATAGCATTAATAAAAGGCATAGAAGGGTAAGAGAATAATTATTTACATTCAGTTATTTTAATAATATATACACCATATCATTATGCAGACTTATGCTTTGTAGAATAATGCATGTTTCTTTTGAAGTGGGAATTAGGCACATATACCAACAATCTAGGGAGAAGTATATACCTTGGTTGCATTTTGCCCATTTTCTGGGCAAAATAAGTACTCTGTAAGGAATACCTTTTACAATGCAGCATACAACTTAATTTTATATGACCCACTGGCCCAGCTGGTTAGGGGTTTGGGAGTTGCATTTCCAAAACATCTTGAAAGGCCAGGTTGTGGAAGGCTGTAAAAGATACTGAACTGAATATATCTTGAATTGGCAGGGGTTTTTTTCCCCTGAAAGTGGCATACATTAATGTGATAGCTTGATGCTAATATGTAAGAGTATTTGCTTGCTCGCCATGGCCTCACTTCAGCTGTTATAATAAATCTACCATCAGTATTGATTAGGGTTAAATTCTTCTGAATATTTTAAAGGCTTGCGTGTGACTGTTCATCACACATTTGTATTTGTTTATATGCCATTACAGCAAAGCCTACATTTTTGTTCGTAAATAATAATTTAAAAACTATTGTCATCGATTTATCTTATACATGTTTTCCCCTGATATGACTGACAGCTAACTAAGGACAAGGCCCATCTTTGTTTTAGAAACAACTACCAAAAATGAGCTAATTTTTTTAAATACCTGGTAAATTATAAAGCTGATGCTTGACAGGCCTGGAGTCCCTAACTGGGATACGGCTTCCCCTCCTTGGCTTTTGCAAGTTAGGCTTGGAAAAATGTTTTCATGATGTGGGAATGAAAAGTGTACGTAGTTTTGGTCCCCATCCACATTGGCATGCAGCTTTGGAAAGAGCAAAACAGGCTATGGAGGCATGTGAACAGTCTAGCTGTGAGAGGAGGTTGCTGACCAGTGGTGTCATATACTCTTCACTGGTGCCTATTTAAACACACGCAGGAAAGCCACAGCAGATGGCAGCGCCTAGCTGTTCTTGGTGAATCTTGAAAGCTAAGCAAGATTGGGCCTGGTTAGTATCTGCACCATCTGGGAATTCTAAGGTTGCCTAGACTGGGAAGTCAAAAAAAATATCCTGGAAGATGGTAATGACAAAGCACTTGTGTAACTCTGCCAAGGAAGCTGCACGGGTGCGGCAGTCACCAAGAACTGAATTCAGCGCAGGTTATCTGGCTGTACAAAACAGAAAAAGCCCATGGTCTCTCAATGTACCTCTTAGCTCTCACTAGAAACAGAGCAATCAATGTTACCTGCACTATGTCAGTGGAAGATGAAGGGTTGCAGTTTGCTGGAAAAAATAGTAATCTCTACATGATCTTCACAAGTAAGTGAAGAACTGTTGATGAAACACTGTCACTGATTCAGATCAATGTTCAAATTATGATTTTAGGTAGTTTATGTGATTTCTTTCCCCATGGTATTTAAACCTGTTTTTGTTAATTTTGAATCATATTTATTGAATCACTTCAGTGTTGTCACATATTCATATTGATATGCAAACTGCACTCCTTTGGTAAAGTGTCAGATTCCAATTTCTTCTGTGTGATGTCAAACAGAATAAATTCTGAATACATAATGTATATTTATATTTCAGAAAATGCAGCAGAAGCAGACCTCTGGCTGTTGAACAGTTGTACAGTAAAAAGCCCTGCTGAAGACCATTTTCGAAACTCAATTAAGTAAGTTGTTATCCTTTGATATACACTCTTGAATTAGTAGAGATGATTGAGAAATCTTTCCTTGAAGAATGTCTTTTGTTGTTCATGGGAGAATGGACAAGACAGAAGACTGGTATAATTCAGTGGCAATTGGATTGAAGTGTGGAAGCTATACAGTTGTTGTCTTTAAGAAAATCCTTGTAAGTTTTGTTTATAACTTGGTTTACTACACAAGCATCACAGTTGTTTTCCAAAATGCTTAGAACAATCTCCAAGTTGAAGATTCCAGAAAGTGACCAGTTGAAGCCAAATTGTACAGCCTGAATCCCCAGGATGAATTGTGGCCCCTGAAAGTCTTGGATGTGGCCCCAGAAATTCCAAAAAAACTGTTACCAGCTTGTAATTACTAATGAGACAGCATGGGAACATTATTAAATACATTCCTGAAGAGTAATTATATTGACTTTAATTAATTACAGTTATTTGTATATTGAAGCCACTCTAGGCAGCTTACAACAGTTCCATTAAAAACATGGATAGAATCCATAAATGTTATAATCATTACAATATTGAAAAATCTGCTGCTGTCATCTATTAAATATCACTTTCCAAAAGCCCTATGGAAGATAATGTTTTATATCTGTTTCCTGAAAGATAAAGTACTGGAGACTAATAAGTCCTCAGGAGGTAAATTGTTTTAGTGAGGGGGCTGCTACTGCAAATGCTATTTTCTAGGTCCCCAACCCCAGTTTCTCCAAGGATGGGTACCTACAGCATCCTCTCCTGGCCAGATTGTGGCCTTATTACCTGAGGAAAATAGGTAATGAGGGCCCAAGCCATAGAGAGCTTTATAGATAACATCCAGCAACTTAAATTGGGCTTGGAAACCTACCAGCAATCAGTGCAGCTCTCAAAAAAAAAAAGAAAAAAAAGTATTATTCTGTTGAACCAGTTTGAGCTGGTCATTAGGCAAGCAGCTGTGGTCTGTGCCAAATACAGCTTCTGTGTTTTCTTGAGTGGTATTGCCAGTTACAGCAAATTGCACTATTCTAACTGAGAAATGACAAAGCCAAGAGTCACTGTCTTCAGTACCTTTGATCCAGGTGCAATTGGTAGATCCAACCAAGCTGGCCAAAGGTTCTTCTGGCCACTGCTTCCGTGTGCTGTTCCGGCAGGAGCTGCAAGCCCAGGAGAACTTCTAAATACCCAGTTATAAATCTTGACCCCAGGACAACCAAATGATGTCATTGAGATCTTGTCACAGTGCCTGGAGGTGGTTTGGATCTGGATTGGGAGGAACAGGCATAAACTTGACAAGACTGAGTGGCTGTCAGTGTCTGGTTCTTCTGGTATCATAGATTTTCCACCTTTAATTTTAAATGGGGTTATATTTCACCAGACAGAACTAGTGTGCAAATTGGAGGTTCTCCTGGGTTCATAAAACAGATGGCAGCTGTGGCCAGGAAGGTCTCTACTCAAATTCATTTAGTATACCAACGAAGTCCTTTCCTGGACTGGGAGTTCCTTCTCACAATTACTCATGCTATAGTAGCTAGTGGACTGTTGCAATGTACTCTATAAGGGACTGCCCTTGAAGATCCATCAGAAACTGCAGTTGGCCCAGAATGTGGTGGCGTGAACATGCTTCGGTATACCCATGCTATGTGAGCTGCTCTGGTTACCAGTAAGCTTCTGCATACTGTTCATGGTGCTGGTTGTTACCTTTAAAGCCCTTTCATGGCATAGGGCCTAGTCATCTAACAGACTGCCTTTCTCCCATTGTTTCTGCCCAACTGGTAAGATCAACACAGTGAGCATAGTCCAGATCCCATCTTTAAAGTAGTATTATCTGTTAGTTCCTGGGAAACTTGCTTTGTCTGTCATCGTGCCTGCTCTCTGGAATAATTATGAGGTTTAAGTAGCCCCAACCCTGCTGTTCTTTAAACAGGCCTTGAAGAACTGGCTTACTCTGCTTGTGTATGAGTATCTTCATGTTCATTTTGCAACTTCTTTTAAGAGTATGAACTATAGGCATTGGCCTTTTTGCTTTTATTCTCTCCTATTTCATTTGAATGTTTTAAAGGACACAGTATTATAAGTTCATCTCTCTCTCTTTTCCTGAACCCAAGCTCAGCTCCTAGTCTGTATTTATTTCTTAGCAACAGGATGAGTTAAGTTAGGCTAGGTGCTAGTCTCTACTGTATCACATCAAATGTATAAACAGTTTAATACATATACACATATACCGAGTTAGACACAGGATTACGTTTGATAAAACACTTTTGTCATGAGCCATCACACTGTGCACCAGAGATCCCTGAGAGGCAGAGTGTGGGTAGATGGCCACAATGAAAAGCTTCTGAAACCAGGAATGGTTTTCCTTGGTATGACCAGTAAGGCGATCTTAAACCCAGAAGTGGAATTCCTGGTGAGGCAGAGAACTAGCAGCTTGGAGTTCTTTACTTCCATAACCTATGCCTTACTAGGAATACAATGCTTTTTAGTTCTCTAACTTGACATTCTGATAGCTTCCTTCTTTTATCTTCATCACTTTTGGGATGGGTTTGTGGAGTCATACCTCAGCTGTAGTAATAACAGCCACATCTGGTGAAGTAGCAGCACCTAATAAACCTTGCTTAATCTTGAAAAATTAAGACAAGTAGGACCTGGTTAAGTTAACTGGAGACCACTGACAATTCCCAGGGCTCTAGGCTAAACTAGAAAATTGGGGGGGGGGAACTCTAGAAGAAGGCAATTATACTTCTACACTGTTGTGTAGAAAACTGTATGGATATGTCTGGAAAGTCCCCAGGAGTCATCTTTACTTGAAGGAGACTTCACCTTTTCTTTTAAAAAAGCCACAATAATGGTTTCCAGGTAAACTAATATAATGACCTGTAATTACCCAAATGTTATTTAATAGTGAACTTTGTGCTACACTTTCCACATAATTGTTTCAGTACTGATTTTTTTTAAGTACAGCTTCCTTTTGCCCTATGCAACGACATATTATGATTCTAATAGAAAGCTGCTGGTGTTTTGATTATCAGCAGTTAGTAATAATAGGTAGAAACCTCATTTCAGTAGTGTGTCTAGTATAAACTTAAAAGTCTTGCTTGTTAGGTAAACAGTCAAATGGACTTTATGCAATCAGATGATTAGTGCAGTGTGCAGATGGGCTTCTATTGAGAGCGAACATGAGCTGTATTTTAATTCTAGTTAAGCAGCTGGTGTACTCTGAAGAATAAAGCAGAAGGTGGGGCCAGAACACGAATAGTCCGTGATTCCTTCTTTCCCTTACGTTGTGTGCCTACTTTAGATTGAAGCACTGGCAGCCTGGCAGAAACTTAATGCTTTTCTTGCCAAGAAAAACCTAGTTTCCTAAACACCCGCCGTTAATATGTTGTTAGGCAATAATAATGGATTGGCTAGCCAATTATCATGGTAACAGAATTACTAGCTTGGTTCCAGCTGTTACAAGTGGTAATTTTTAACAATAGTAGGCACATGCATTGAAGCAGAGTGATGAAAATAAAGTGTTCTCAGTCACCTGAGTGCCTTTTTATGTCCAAAATATAACTGAATCTGATTTTAATTAAGACTGAAATATTTTTCTCCACAGAATTATCTAATGGCCTATTTGTTGTGATTTCAGAGGAGATATTTTGTCTGTACTAAAACATCTGCAGGGGCTTCCAGTATATTTCAAAACACAACTCAGAGTGTTGTTTTTGTCCTATAAAGCTTTCAGTGACTTAAGTATATTCTGTCTGATGTCTTTCTTCATCAACCTGATTATTCAGTCAGATCAAGTCATGATTAGGCTCCTTCTTTCAGACCTCTAATGTTGAAGATTAATTCAGTGATGAATCTTACATTACCTTGTCTTTGAAATGCCTTTGTAAAAGAGATCTATTTCATATTCTACTTTTATTGTTTGTGCCAACCCACCTTTATTACTTTTTTTCAGAATTTGAATATTATAATCAACTGCCTGTAAAAATGATTTTGATGTCATATCTTGACATTGTTTTTTGTTGTTATTATTATTATTTTCTGGTTCTACACTATTTATATGTGAGCTACCTTAAGTGTATATGGTAGAATGGTAGGATAATCATATTTTAAATAAAACTTTAAAATCATGACAGTTTTTTTTGAAATTCAGTAAAAACATAAGCTTGATAATGAGATCATATTAAAAAAAAATACATATATATATATAAAATTTGCAGTACTAACTAGTATTACCTTTCTGTCTATTTACTTTTGAAAGCCACACTTTCTAATCACAGGAATTACCTTATGACTCTAAAAAGGTTATAGTCTTGAGGTCTCCATTATCCTTGAATAAAGAAAACAGTATTTGTGATTGTGGGATGCTATTTAGGAAATACATATTTCTGATCATGTGTGTTGTGAAATTCTTCCCAGATTGTACCTGAGTCAGAGTTTTCTGTGTCTGAGAAAACATAAATTGGGTCTAAATTTTAGATATTTTAGAGGAACTGGCTACTAGTTGGAAATCAGCCTTAGGACGGATTATTTGTCTTTCATACTCCAGTGAAGAAATAGTTGCTGGAAGAGGACATCTACTACCTTTTAAGCAATAGAGCTGGTTCCCTTTGATTTGTAGGATACTGGTGATATTTCACAATTTTCCATATTTCTAAGATGAGCAACATTCATTTTCAACCTCAAGCATTTAAACAAACGTGTACACTGGGGCTTTCATATGAACATTTTGTCATCCATAACCATGGAGAGTAGTCTAAGCAATTACATAGCGTCATTAGATCCAACAGAGATGTAATTACATGTAATGATCAGATCATCCCACAGAAAGCTTCTTTGGCTTTCTTTCAACAAACAGCATTATCATTGTATTGTCGAAGGCTTTCACGGCCAGCATACGATGACTGGTGTGGGTTTTCCGGGCTGTGTGGCCGTGTTCTGGAAGTTTTATTTCCTAACGTTTCG